TTTCATTTCATATCTTATTTATTTGGGTCTTCTTTCTTTTTTTCTTCATCTATCCAAAGATTTGTCAGTTTTGTTGATCTTTAGAAAATCATCTCTTAGTTTCATTGCTATTTTCTACTGATTTCTGTTTCTTTGATAAATTTCAGATTTTGTTCATGTACTGTTTTCCTGATTTCGTTAGAACGTCTTTCTGTGTTTTCTTGTTGCTCTTTTGATTTCCCTAAAACTACTATTTTGAATTCTTTATCAGTTAGGTCACAAAATTTCATGTCTTTGATCTTGGTTATTGGTGCGTGATTGTTGTCTTTTGGTGATGATATGGTTCCTTGATTCTTCATATTCCTTGGAGCTTTGCATTGCTGCTTTCACATATGAAGTAGCAAACCCTTAAATCTCTACTAGTTGCCTGCAGGTGGGGAACACAGTTCATTGGTCCTGTTATATCTAGGATTTTCTCTAACCTGCTCCATGATTCTTGCTTTCTTGCTCCCTCTTGTGGCAGAATTATTAAGCATTTACGTCTTCTCTGGTCTTAGAGCTCACCAGGCTGGAAATCTCTTTTTTGTTTTCCAGAAAATAGCACTACAGCTCAATTTTATGGTTTCTTCCTCGCCCATAGACTCTGGTCTGAGAGCACTCCTTTTTCTGTAGCTCACTCTTGCCACCAAAGTCATAAGCACATAAAAGTAACTGGCCAGAGAGTGGGGAGAGGTGTGGGTTTTGCACACTGGGCATTTGGGGGTCACTGCAGGACTGATGAGAGGATTATTGGTTAAGGGTCTCCCAGAAGCTATTGGATTGACTTTCTGTGAATTCCTGAACCCAGTCATCAGGAACTACATCCCTTTAATGTTGTTTGATATTCTTACCTGCCTCTTTCCTGATCTCTTTCCTTCCCCTTTCCCCCAGTCATGGAAGTCTTGCCTCCAATTCGTTTTGTTTTGTTTTGTTTTGCTCCAGTGGCATGCTGGAATCTCCCCTTAGCAAAGCTGAAGTTTCACAAAATCTCTCTTGTCCTTGGGTGTCTGCCCAAGTCAGCATTCTTTAGGTTTTCCCCAACTGTAGCCAAGAGGAATTGGGGCATGTTTACCAGTCCTGCTGATTCCACAGCTCATAGGAAGGTCTGTCTGCCTATTACTTATGCACAGGTGGATGAAACTCCTCTCAGGTCCCTTAGCATATGGTGTTGGATCCCACAACTCCAACAGAGGTACTTTTGTTTGTAGATGGATGCCTAATTAGTTGTTTAAAAAGGGAGACCAAAAGGAGGACTGTCTAATGCCACTATAATGCTGACATCACCTAACTTGTCCTTGTTATAATCACAGCTGAGCTCAGTCTCTCTCCCCTATTGCAATAGTCTTGACCCCTATTGCAGTAGTCTTGATTAAAATCTTCTTTACCGCTTTTGATGTGTCAGAATAATTTCTTTTTAATAGCATCTCTTTTCTAACATCTTTCTTGCCTTGTTCCCAAGTGGTTTTTTTCTGATGCTATTGTAAATGGAATTTTTCTTTTATTTTTTGATTGTTCACTGCTAATGTATAGAAATATAATTGATTTTTGTATATTGATCTTGTATTGTATAACCTTGTTGAACTCATTTATTAGTTTTAATAGTTCCTTATGATTTTCTATGTACTGGATCATGCCATCTGAAAACACAGATTTAATTTTCCCTTTCCAATCTGAATACCTTTCATGTCTTTCTCATGCCTAATTGGCCTGGCTGGAACCTCTAGTACAGTTGAATAAGAGTGGCAAGAATGGACATCCTTGTCTTATTCCTGATCTTAGGGAAACTTTCACAATTATGTATGATGTTAGCTGTTTTTTCATAGATGGTTCAGGAGCTTCTCTTCTATTTCTTTTTTGTTGAGTTATCATGAAAAGGTGTTGGATTTTGTGAAGTGCTTTTTTTGCATCTATTGATATGATCATATTGTTTTTCTCCTTTATTAATACAGTATATTACAGTAATTGATTTTTGGATATTAAATTAAGCTTGCATTTCTGAAATGCCTCTTCATCATGGTGTAAATTCCTTTTTATATATTGCTGGATTCATTCTACTAGTACTTTATTGAAGGTTTTTTGTGTCTATATTCATAAGAGATATTGATCTGTTGTTTTCTTGTGATATCTTTGGTTTTGATACCAGGGTAATACTGACCTCATAGGATAACTTGAGAATGTTCCCTCCTTTTCTATTTTTAGAAAAATTTTCGAAAAACTGGTATTCTTGTAATGTTTGGCAGAATTCACCTTTGAAGCCATCTGGGCCTGGGCTTTTCTTTGTGCAAAGTTTAAAAATTACCGACTTAATCTTTTTGTTTGTTGTAGCTCTATTCAGTTACTCCCATTTCTTCTTGAATTTCTTTTTGTGGTTTGTGTCTTTCTAGGAATTTATCCATTTCATTTAGTTTATCTAATGTATTGACATACTCTTGTTTACAGTATTCTCTTAGAATCCCTTTCATTTCTGGGAACTCAGTAGTGATTATTTTAGTAATTTGAATCTCTTTTTTGTCTGTTTATACAAAGACTTGTCAATTTTGTGTATCGTTTCAAACCTACTTTTGGTTTTATTGATTTTCTCTATTGTGTTTCTAATCTATATTTTTTCTGCTCTAATCTTTATTATTTACTTCTCTTAGCTTTTGATTTAGTTTACTTTTCTTTTCCCAGTTCCTTGAGGTGGAAATTTAAGTTATTAATTTGAGATCTTTTGTCTTAGTCATCCTATAAAGGATTACCATAGACTGGGTGGCTTAAACAACAGAAATTTATTTTCTCATGGTTCTAGAGGCTGGAAGTCCAAGATCAGGGTGTCTGCATGATTGGGTTCTGGTGCAAAATCTCTTCCCAGCTTGCAGATTGTGCCTTATCACTGTGTTCTCTGGTGTCTCTTTTTATAAGGGCACTAATCCCATCATAAGCCTTCATGGCCTCATCTCAACATAATGATCTTCCAAAGATCCCATCCAAATACTATCACATTAGGGGTTAGGACTTCAATATATGATTTGTGGGAACTCAATTCTGTCTGTAACATCCTTCTTCTCTTTAATATAGGTGTTTGCTGCTATAAATTTCCTTCTATCCACTGCTTTTACTTCATCCCATAAGTTTTCCTTCTGTTATTGATTTCTAATTTCATTCCATTGTTGAGTCCAAGAGCTGAGCTCCCCCTCCCCCAAGTAAGTTTATAATTTCTGCTCTTCTTGTGTATGGATCACACTTTCCTGTTTCTTTTAACATGTCATAATATTTTGGAAAATTGGACATTTTAAGTAATGTATTATAGCAATTCTGGGTACTGGTTCCCAACCCCTAGGGTTTGTTGTTTGCTTCTTTATTTGTTTAGTGACTGGGCTGGACTTTTTCTTTGAAGTGTGTTTCTCCCACAGGGTATAGCCGCTGATGTCACGTCTGAGAGGGAACAGCCTTGGACATACAGAGTCACCCTGGAATGACACAGCTCTCTTTGAGTGTTTTTTCCCTGATCTCCCTATTAAGCTTGCCTCTGTTGGTATCTCATCCAGCTGTTAACCTCCACTAATTGCAGGCTAATTGCTCTATTATTTTTTTTTCTGACAATTTCCCAGACATAAATTCCTGCAGTCTGATCTAATTAGACTTGGGTTCCTTTATCTTTGAGGCCAGTCTTAGATGCTTGTGCTGACCTTGGGAGGGTTCTTCTTAGCTGTCTCTTCCCCAGGTACTCTCTGTTAAACTTCTAGCTGCCCCATGGTTTAACTTGTTAGTCTCGTGAAGCTACCAGCTTCATTATAATTGCTTACCTCCAAAGTCTTTGTTTTTGACAGCACCCTTAGGCTTGAACTTCCCCATTCTCTGCCCCAAATGAAGTCTGTCCTCTTAGGGAAAACTCTCTGTTCTTAAGGACTGCCTCTCCCACTGGGAACAATGTATGAGTCACTGCTCTGGTACTGTAGATCGGGGCAGTGGACTCCTTCTCTTTGAGTGGCACCCTTGCTGTACCATTGGAGTGCTAGATAACCCTGGTCTTGGCTTTCCTCTCACATTGTGGAACCTCTACTCTATGAGTTAAGTCAGGGAAGAGGCCCTCAGGGCCCAGTGTTCTTGGCCTGCCATCTGGGGTAGAGCTTCTTCTCTATGTATGGCACTAGGTAGAGGAAGGGAGCCTCATAACTATCAGCCGTGCCATGCTGGAAAAGAGCTTCTGCCTCATAGCCTGAGTATGGAGTGAAGAAGGAGGAGAAATGCTGACTACTTGCCCCTCCTAGGGAGAGAGCATAGCCTTTGAGGGGAAAGAGAGCTCCCAGGCTTTACTTGCCAGAAGCAGAGCTTCTACATCACTGAGCTGAAGGATGGGGCAGGTCGTGCCTCATATGCCATAGACTCTCACTGTTGTTATTGATAATTCATTGATTTTCTTGTATAAATGTTTCTCTATTTGCTGTATGCCCTTAGGACACTCACAGTTTTCAGAGACTTTGAATGGCTTTTGTTTGTTTTTATAATTGTTACCAGTTATGGCAGTTTTGTTGGAGAAAGGATCTTTGGAGCTCCCCACACTGCAGTTCTGAAAATGTCCAACTCTCATTCATTTTGATGGTTCTTTTTTTTTGTTGTTTTTACTCTCAGATCATATCCTTAATTTAGGAATTTGCAAACTACAGCCCTTGGATCAAATCTGGCCTGTTTTTCTGCATTAAGTTTCATTGGAAAACAGTCATGCCCGTTCATTTACATATTATTTATATCTGACAGAGTTGATTAATTGCAGCCAAGACCATTTGGCCCAGCCTAAAATATTTAGTATCTGGCCCTTCACAGAAGAGCCTACTTTAGTTGATAAGCTTTACGATCATTTATCACTTAAAGTTATAACTGTTTCTGTAGTAAATATGAGTTGTCAAGAATACCAGCTGTAATTAAATTCACATTTGGCTTAAAGACAAAACAGCAGATTTGTAATATAAACATGATATTTTCTGTTTTTCCAACATTTTCAGATCTGGTAGCTCAGCGAGGCGAAAGATTGGAATTATTGATAGATAAAACAGAGAATCTCGTGGATTCGGTAAGTATGGGATATGATAATATTTTTCAGGATGTAAAGTTGAGAAGCTGTGGTTGATGGTTAATATAATAGAGAAACATCTTAAATCCAATACTTTAGTAGGGTTTTTTTTCCCTTCTAACCCTCATTATGTGATTACATTATGATAATGAGGATAAAAATGAGACATAGAAAAAAACCACAACCCATTAATAACCATTAAGGAAGCTTTAATTTGGAAAACATATTCAACATAAAGAAACAATTTTTTAAAGCTTTGGATCGATACCTGTATAATTTAGACTTAGCTGCATATACCAGTCTGTTCTCTGTACACTTTGTAAAGCAAAAAACAAATGTGCACGCCAGTTGTGACCCATTATGAATCCTAAAACCCAAACAATTCAGTCACTTTCTTGCTTACCATGACAGCTTTAGCTTTCTTTGTATCAAGCAAGAGGCAGAGATCGATAATGATGGATGTGTCCCTGTAACCTATTTATCCTACAGTTACACGTGTCTTTGTATTTTCCATCTGGTTAGTGGATAAAGGTTTTGAGGAAAGATGATAGACAGACATTGAATAGAAGGTGGGCAGAGATCAGTTACAATTTGGGTCTACACAATTAAGAATTTACATGAAGAGTAGAAGTTTACACCTTGAAACAGATCATTGAGTGATCATGTTCATTCTTACTGACAGCTAGATTTTAGTGGTTGGAGTACAAGCTCTAGAATCAGGTTGCCTGGGATTGAATCCTTTCTCTGCCACTAGTTGTGTGACCTTAGGCAGGTTACTTAACCTCTCTATGCCTCAGTCATCATCATCATCATCTGTAAAATGGAGATATATCTTCTTCATAGTGTTTTGAGGGTTAAAGTGTACAGTGCATGCAAAGTGCCTAACACGGTGTCACAATGTCTGATACATAGTAAGAGCTATTTAAATGTTTATTGTTATTGTTAGTTTTACAGGGACATCTAATAACAGTAGGTCTTAGGAGGATAATAGTTTTTCCACCAAAGTATATGGAAATTGGAGGAAGGGTGGCACCATACAGGAAGTCAAACAATGGGGTTCTGTAATAGCTCACTTGGTAACACATTGCTTGAGGAAGAAGAGGGAAAATATGTGTCTCATTCTAGATCTTCTGACAATTTCTTTGGAACTTCCAGTCCATCTCTTAGTTATTCTTAATCCCTGAAGATAACCCTATTTAGTTGGAATGGTCTGTGTTTGACCAATACTAGTATAGTCTTCACTTTCCAAATAAAAGTCTTCTTGTTGACTACATGACCCAGAATAACAAACACTGCTAATTAACTAACTGATGTCTCTTTTATGGAAGAATAACATAAGTACAATAAAGTGCAGCAAGTGTACTTGCTAGTACAAGTGTTATTTTCTACATATTTCTATACCCATGTAACCACCACCCAGATCAAGATATAAAACACTGTCAACACCTCTGAAAGCTCCCTTATGCCCCTTCCAGTTAATAATCCCCAACAGAGGTAATTTCTCTAACTTACATCACTCTAGATAATGTTACTTGTTCTTAAAATGTGTAGAAAAATGGACTCATATGTTATATATTCTTTCATGTCTGGCCTCTTTCACTCAGTATTATGTCTATGAGATTCATTCATGTTGTTGGATGTAGTAATAATTTATTCTTTTTTATTGTTTTGTACTACATATTCTATTGTATAAATCTACCCACCACAATTTGTTTATCCATTCTCCCCTGTGGGGTTTAATTCTGTATTCTCTATTGTGTTCCATTAATCTGTTTGTGTGCCTTTATGTCAGTACCACCCTGTACTGATTACTATAGCTTTATAGAATTCCCAAAGTCCTCCAACCATGTTCTTCTCCAGGATTGTCTTTACCATTTTAAGTCCTTTGCATTTTCATTTGTGTTCCAGAATAAACTTGTTATTTTCCATCCTGAAAAAAAAAACTTATATATTTGATTGTGATTGCATTTAATCTATAGATCAATTTGGGGAGAATTGGTAATCTTGACAGCATTGAGTCTTCCTATCCATAAACTTGGCATATCTGTGCTTTTGCCTAGGATTTCTTTCATTTATCTCACCAGTATTTTTCAGTTTTGGTGTAAAGGTCTTGTACATACTTTGTGAAATTCATTCTTGAGAATTCCATACTTTTGTGTTCTGTGATAAATTTTAAATTTAATTTTCCAATTTTTACTGGTAATGTATAGAAATGAAGTTGACTTTTGTATATTGACCTGGTTTGTATCCTGAAATGTTGCAAAATTCACTTGTTAGTTCTACTAGCTTTTTTGTAGATTCTTCCATTTTACTTCTTTTCTTTGTCTTATTGCACCGTCTAGAACGTGCACGATAGTAAAGGAAAGTCATGACAGTGGACATTCTTGTATGTAGCACATCTTATAGGGAAAAATTCAGTATTTTCACAATTATGATATTAGCCCTAGATTTTTTTATACATACCCTTTATCAGCTAGAAGAAATCCCTTCAGTTCCTCACTTGAGAGTTTTATTCATGAATTTTATCAAATATTTTTTCTGTCTACTGAGGATTATATGGTTTTTCTCCTTTATTCATTTAATATGACTGAATATAACTTACTAAGTTAACATTTCTTTTTGAATGTTAAACCAACCTTGCATTCTTGCAAGGTCATGATACATTATCCTTTTTATATAACACCTTATTGGATTTGCTGTTGATTTATTCAGGAATTATGTGTGTTCATGAGGGATGTTGATCTGTAATTTCTTTTTCTTTTTGGGCTTTGGTATCAGGGATATGCTGGCCCCATCAAACAAGTTGGGAATTGTTACCTCTCTCTCTCCTCCAAAAGAATTTACGTACTATTGACATTATTTGTTCCTTAGCTGTTTGAAAGAATTCACCAGTGAGGCAGTCTCAGCCTGGAGTTTTCTTTGTAGGAAAATTTTAAATCTACCATTTTACTATTTGTTTCCTATTTGTACCATCTGTTCTTTGTTCCCTTCACCCTCTTTTTTTGCCTTCTGCTCAATTAATTGAGTGCTTTTTAAATTCCATTTTTATTCTGTTTTGTTATTTTGTGCTTGCTCTGGGGTTTACAGTAGAAGTCTTTAACTTATCATAGTCTACCTTCTAGTTGTATTATTGTACTTCACAAATAGTATAAGAATGTTACAAAGTTTACCTCCAGTTTTACCTTCCTGACCTTGATGCTTTTGTCATACTTTCATTTACACATATAACTGTAAAATACATTGTTACTATTTTTGTTTAAACAGTTGATTATCTTTTAAAGAGATTTAAATAATAAGAAGAACATCTTTTTTTATTTATCCATGTAGTTAATATTTCTGGTAACTCTTCATTCTTTTGTGTAGATCCAGATTTCCATCTGGTGTCATTTTCTTTCCACCTGTAGGATGTCTTTAAACATTTTTCATAGTGTTAAATCTGCTAGTAATGACTTCTTTCAATATTTGTATGCCTGAAAAGTCTTTATTTCACTTCCTTTTTTAACATATTTGATATGCTTTGATTTTTTTTTTGGTAGGGGAAGATAATTAAGTTTGTTTATTTTTGGAGGACGAACTGGGAATTGAACCCAGGACCTCATGCATGCTAAGCATGCACTCTACCACTTGAGCTATACCCTTCCCCCTTTTCACTTCCTTTTTTAAAAGATATTTTCACAGCACAGAATTCTACATTAATTTTTTTTTAGTAATAGACTCCATTTTTTAGAGCAGTTTCAGGTTCACAGCAGAACTGAGCAGAAAATACAGAGAATTTGCACATAGCCCTCCGCACCCACACATGTATACTCCCCTACTCTCAACATCCCTCATCAGTGTGGCATATTTGATACAATCAATGAACCAACATGGACACATTATTATCAACCAAAGTCCATAGTTTACATTAGGGCTCACTCTTGATGTACATTCTATGGGTTTTGACAAATGCATAATGACATGTAAGCCACCACTGTAGTATCACTCAGAATAATTTCATTGCCTTAAAAATCCCTTATATTCCATCTATTCATTCCTCCCTCCCTCCCTCCCTCTCCCCAAACCACTGGAAACCACAATCTTTTTATTGTTTCTGTAGCTGTGCCTTTTCCAGAATGTCAGTTGGTTGGAATCATACAGTTTGTAGCCTTTTCAGACTGGCTTCTTTCATTTAGTAATATGTCTTTTAAGTTTCTTCCATGTCTTTCATGGCTTGATAGCTCATTTCTTTTTTTTTTTACTGCACATATATTTTTAAATTCACATATATGTACTGTTCATTGTTTCTAAGAATGTTTAGAGCTTTTAGCTTTTTAAACTTACATAGTTATCAAAGGAATAAAACCAACTACAAAATAAAAATTAATTCAGAAAGATACATGCACCCTGCTATTAACAGCAACATTATTTATAATTACCAAGATATGGAAGCATCCTAAGTGTACATCAATAGTTGAATAGATAAAGAAGATTTAATGAAATACAACTCACCCATAACAAAGAAGGATATTTTTGCCACTTGTGGCCCTTCATTCACTTTTCTTTTCACTTCAAAAACCAGAATTTTATAACTGACAGAAACATTTCCATTGCATCAAAAACAACAAAATACCTAGAAATAAACTTAACCAAGGAGGTTACCTATACTTTGAAAACCGAAATGACTCAAAGAAATGGAAAAATTTCTTGTGCTCTTGGATTGGAAGAATCAACACCATCAAAATGGCCACACTACCCAAAGCAATCCACAGATCCAACACAACCCCCATCAAAATACTCATGACATTCCTCACAGAACTAGAACAAACAATTCCAAAATTTATACGGAACCACATAAGACCTGAACAGTCAAAACGATCTTTTCTAGGTATTTTTTTTTCTCTTTCTTTTTTTTGTTCTCTTTTCTTATGGTTTGATGATGAGAGAAG